CTTTCACTGCTTTCGCCTATCGTGCCATATCCACGAAACTTGACAAACTCTCTCAAACACCTGGGCCCTCACCTAGCTACCTCATTTTCGAATGCATGGCATTTCACCAATGCTCAGACTCAGGTTGCTTCTATTCGACAACGAAGAGCTGCTACCGGTGGTGCAGGAGGGATGACCATGTCTTCAGACTCTGACAGTCTTGAAGATTTGCTTCATCTTGACCTAGGAGACATCACCAACTCTGCAGCAGGTAGCGTCACTAGCCCGTCTGACTACTCCAGTCGCTCTAGATACAGTCCGGGAGGGTCAATTGCCGGAACGCCTGGCTGGGACACCTCGCTAGGATTCTCCAGTAGGCACTCGCATAGTGGCACGCCTGGTCATCTTGCTGGCAGCGAGGCCGTGGAAAGCTACTTTGACGCTAGGAGACAAGCTAATAAGACCAACAACAATGCTGCCTCGAATTCACAAGATCAGAGTTCAAGAAAAACCGACAAACGCCCTGGGAAACGAGTGACTGTGAATCCGGTGGCTGAAAACGTCAAGGAAGATGCTTCAAAGCCACGTGAGGAAAAGAAGGATGAAGTGTCGAGCCCCCGCCGTGCACAAGCACAAGATACTACTAAACGTGGTCACTCATTCCTACACTCGTATGGTGCAGATTTTAGCTCGTCATTTCAATCGCTGCCGGCCGCGACCACGCCAGGAGGGCGACCGCAAGTGCCCCAAGGCAGTATAAGGACAATGTCTACCACTGAATCTTCTGAGATGCCGCCTCCTTCAGAGAGTTTGCTTCGGACTATTATCGATTCTTTGCCAGTTCAGATATTTACTGCCGCACCCAACACTGGAGCAATCAGCTGGGTCAACTCCAAATTCCTCATTTATCGTGGTCAAACCTCACGCCAAGTGCTGCAAAACCCGTGGGATTCAATTCACCCTGAAGACCGCGATGCATATTTGGACGAATGGAGTAGATCCCTGCGAACTGGCCAGCAGCTCCAGATGAAGGTCAGATTACAGCGCTTCGACGAGTGCTATCGATGGTTTTATGTTCGAGTGGCACCACTGAGGAACAAGCGTCAGCAAATTGTGCACTGGATCGGCACCAACATGGACTTTCACGAACAGCACATTGCAGAACAGAACTCTGCTCGCCAGCAGGAGACGGCTGCTTCAGAAGCCAAGTATCGCGCATTAGCCAACTCGAGTCCTCAGATTGTATTCGTCGTGTCAGACCGTAGGGGTCTGACCTTTTGCAACTCGCAGTGGATTTCATTTTCTGGCCAAAGCGAAAGTCAGGCCCTTGGTAATGGCTTCCTCGAGCACGTACATCCTGATGACGTCATTAAGTGCAAGCTTCCAGAGCTAGATGAGCATGGTGTTGCTAATGTTCCTACGTCTTTGCCACCTGAGCAGGGACAACAAGACTCTAATGCTTCTGATGCTTCATCAGAAACGGAAAGAACCATCACCAGTCCCAGTGGCTCATCCCCAGATAGGATGGACTTGCCTCAAGCCAAGCTATCCAAGCTAGCAAGCACTGGCATATTGAGGGTCGTTAAAGATGCTCACGGGCGGGCATCTTACTCGACTGAGGTCAGACTCCGCAATAAAGATGGTGATTACAGGTGGCACCTTGTGAGAATCTTACTGGAGAAATCGCTTGCAGAAACCAGTGACGAGGAGACTTGGTATGGAACAGCCACAGACATCAACGACCACAAGCTGCTCGAGCAAACACTCAAGGAGACCATGGACGCAAAATCCAAGTTCTTGAGCAACATGTCGCATGAGATCCGAACGCCACTTAATGGTATTTCAGGAATGGTCAACTTCCTTCTGGATAGTGTCCTCAATACCGAGCAACTGGAGCACGTCAACATCATCAAAGCCAGTACTGACAGTTTGCTCAATCTCATCAACGATATTCTTGATCTGTCCAAGGTTGAAGCCGGAATGATCAAGCTCTCCATGGAGTGGCTTCATTTGCCGTCTCTGCTCGAGGAAGTCAACGACCTCAACATGGGTCTTGCCATTCAAAAAGGCCTTGAGCTCAATTACCTGGTAGACGAAGGGGTACCAGCAGAAGTCAAGGGTGACAAGTTCCGCATTAGGCAGGTCCTGCTTAACGTGGTTGGCAATGCGATCAAATTCACAGAGCATGGAGAGATTTTCATTCGCTGTAAACTGCAGCAGTCCGATCGATCTCGGCCACTAAAGGAGAACGAGACGATGATCCGATTTGAAGTGGTGGACACTGGACAGGGTTTCACAGACGCCGAGGCCAAGTATCTCTTCAAGCGATTCAGTCAGATTGACGCGAGCAGTACGAGACAACATGGCGGCACTGGACTTGGACTGGCCATTTCTATGCAATTTGTCGAACTCCATGGTGGCAGAATGGATGCTCGAAGCGCGCCAGGCAAGGGTTCAACCTTCTTTTTCACGATCAAATTTGGCCTTCCTACTGCAGACGACTATCCCAAGCCGCTTGTATCAACACCGGGAACGCCTGCCTTCGAGCCACCGATCGCTCCCCCACCAGCCAACTTGCAGCAGCTCCAGCCATCGGCTCTACAGAAGTTTGTGCAATCACAAAATCCTGGCTATGTGCCTCTGAAGCGCGTCTCGAGCGTGTCGTCGGAGAAGAGTGAGTCGGCCAAGTCGCCTGTGCCTAGCGTGACCACCTCTGAACGCTCACGGGACTCTCCTGCGCTCTCCTCTGGGAGTTCGGATCATTCTTTGACAAGCTCTGCACTGACTGGGCAGTCGAGCCTGCGATCAGAAAGGTCATCAGCGTCATCCTACATGCACGAAACCAGTACGGCCTCGAACACGAACATGAATTTGGCCTTGCCTCCAAAGCGAGCTAACAGCGACCAAGAAACACGACCAGATGAATCCAGCACTTCTGTTGACTCGAATGAGACTGTGCGTCCAGGCTCGCCACACCGCAGTCTTTCTCCATTGGGCAGCTCCCTACAGCCTCCCATGTACTCAATCTTGGTGGTGTGTCCTCTTGAACACAGCAGAGAAGCCACGATAAGGCATATCAAGAACACGCTACCTCAGGGAATCCCTCACCAAGTCACTGGGCAGCCGAGTATCATTGGTGCACAGAAGATGATGGGTGGCGAGAACCCTGTCTTGTTCACCCACGTTGTGCTTGTATTGCACGACACGGCCGAAGTGCATGCCATTGTTGATCAGATCTTCAGCTCCACGGCTTACAGCAACACGTCGGTCGTCATAGTGTCTGATCCTTCGCAGAAGAAGGAGCTCATGAAGGAGGCACCGGTCTATGATTATGAGCAACTCCACAATGACCGCCGCCTGGAATTTGTGTATCGACCTCTTAAGCCATCGAAATTCGCCATCATATTCGATCCGCAGAAGCAACGCGAGTCAAGTACCGATCGAAACCAGGACAGCGCGCAGCAGGTTGTTGTTAGTCAGAAGCTTGTGTTTGAAGAGCTTAAACGAAGGGTTGGCGGCAAGAACCACAAAGTGTTGTTGGTTGAGGACAACAAGATCAACCAGACTGTGAGTAGATATAAGCAGTGCATTGTGTTGACTGATACTGACTAATGTAGGTCATCCTGAAATTCCTGGCTAGAATCGACATTGCGACCGAAACTGTGCTCGACGGAGTTCAGGCGACAGAAGCCATCTTCTCCAAGCCGCCGGGTTACTATTCAATTGTCCTTGTAAGCAAATACACATGTCGTGAGTGCGGGCTGCGCTAACAAGACCCCAGTGTGATCTGCATATGCCCAACAAAGACGGCTACCAGGCTTGCAAAGAGATCCGACGTTGGGAAAAGAAACATGGGTACCGTCGGCACCCGATTATAGCGCTATCGGCAAACGTCCTTGGGGATGTGTATGCAAAGTGCGCAGAAGCGGGATTCAACTCGTACGTGACGAAACCGGTCGAGTTCAAGGAGCTTTCTATTGCCATGACCAAGTTCTTGGATCCAGCGGACCCTTCGAAACCGCCTGCTCTTATGAAGAAGAAGTGAGAGCAACTACATTTTTACTTTTTTTTTTTAATTTCGACGCACACAGACTCACACGTATACATTATTGGGGCATGAGCCTCAGCACTGCTCCTACTAGCATGAGCGAACGGCGCAATTGGAAATCGAGTAGATGGTTCTGGCGGACAGGCAAGAATTATTGACGATTTTTTGTTATGGGTGCATTAGACGCGTATTACCCTTGCATATTTACCGCGTCAAGATGCATTCCGTTACGTTGGATTGGGGTAAAAGGATTTTTTTGTTTTGGGAAGGAATGTACATTTTTTTTTTCGATATGAATGCAATGGGCATTTGATGGCGTATGGATATTTGGAAAGATGAAGGGAAGTGGAGAGTGATTGCTTGCTATTGGCATAATGGGTGCCTGGGGCAAAGGGTAGGACCAACACTAGGGTGCGGACGAGACGTTTACGATACAATGCCGCGCTACGCAGAGGGCGCACACTTGTACAATATAGGACACAGAGTCATGGACGGGGAAGGGAAAAGATGTATACTTAGGAATTGACAATACCAACTTGATATTTCTTCAGCGTATCAAGCTTTGTGATGGCGATTGGGCGTACCGGGGAATGCATGCCAGCGGTATGTGTATGCATGCATCAGTTTCACGCGACCATTATGTGACGGGGCTAGACAGGCATGCCGCATCCAAAGACGGCCTCGTCCTCCCCCCAAACCAGCGATGCAAACATCACCACTTGTGCTACAGGCTATCATCTTTACCCCTATTGGCTGTGGCAGTCAACTACCTTACAACCAGCCCACGTTGATTGGTGGATTTTTGCAGGGATGCTGGTGTCGTCATTGTTCGGCATGAGGTGCTAAGATGCTCTAAAGTCCGACGCTTCCCTTGGGTTCCCGTCGCGCGCTGACATTGATTCTTCCTATCTTCTCTCCCGCTGTCGTACGCTAGGATTGCAGTCAACCTGTTCTTCATTCTACGTGCCTCAAAATGGCTTCTGCGACCGGAATCCCGCCTAATTCCGCTGCCGCGCGCGGCCAGAGCGAAGAAGAGCCGCTCCTCGGCAGAAGAGGCGATGCAAGCCAGATGCAGGGCCAGCCGCTGTATCACAACTTGTGGATTGGTATGTGAAGCTACTGACTAGGCTTGCGAAGGGCGACAGCTGTTAACCAAATACACAGGTACTGCCCCCATTGCCCAGGCCGGTATCTGGATTCTCGCCGCCATAGTCTGGGGCGCCATCTTCTCCAACAAACTCATCTTCTTCTCCGCGCATCCGGTAAGCACCCCTCAACTTAACGTCTTGTTCCAGCAAACCAGCTAACCGCCGCCCGCCAAACAGCTTCTCAACTCTGTAAGCAACCCCGGCACCACCCTAGTAACCCCTTCGCGACAACCGTATCATTGATACCTTCTCCATAGGCCGGCTTCCTCCTCGCCATCCAAGCAACCCTTATCCTGCAACCCACGCACACGCCCGACCAAAAGCGCGCCGGCACACTCGCCCACTTCCTCTTCCACGTCGTCGGCGCATCCGCCCTAACCGCCGGCCTCATCATCATCGAAATCAACAAGCAAGGTCCCGGCCACGAGCACTTTGCCTCTGCACACGCCCGTCTCGGTCTCGCCTTTTACGTTCTCGTGTACCTCCAGGCGCTTGTTGGCTTCACCCAGTACTACGTGCCCCAGCTGTATGGTAGTGTTGAGAATGCTAAGAGCATCTACAAATACCATAGACTGTCTGGTTACTTTATCGCTGTGCTGGGTCTAGCTACTATTTGTGCGGCTACGTGGACTACGTATAATATCTATGTGGGGCATATGCAGCATTGGGCGGTGATTACGGCGAGTGTGCTTGTCTTGGTTGGTGTGGTGCCTAGGATTCGGCTCAGCAAGTTTGGGATTAAGAGGCAGGGTGAGGTTAGGTTGTAGATGTTGTTGTTGCATGAAGAAAAGGAAGGTTGGATTGTGAGGTATGGGGTACGATGGATGATGTGATGGGGAATGCGTTACTTGGTTCGTTTGAGGAACAGGGAATTGGTGATTGACGAGAATATGAGGGCGGGATAGCTTTTATCTATTTGAATGCATTTTCATAGCATATCATGACATTTGTTTTTTTCTTCATTTTTGAGCCATGTCATGAGTGTTGGAAAAAACTTGCATTTTTTGTTCTCATTTAAAAATAATTCTAATGTGCTAAACAAGCAAACACCGATTTAAACAATGTTGGTCCGTAATCTACTCATATACTACACGAATAATAGACACTATCATTATTCTAGATCGCTCTTGTCGTTTTTTTTTGTGTGGAGTTTCTCTTGCAACGGAAATCTATCCCGTTTGTCCAATTGAACCAACTTCGATATGTTAAAAAAAGAAAGAAGGGTTTTCGGCGTTTTTTTTTCAAATATCAACTATTTCAAGTCAATCTATCTTTCGATCATCTCGCAAAATAACAGTGATTCAGTCCTCTACTCTATATACCCCCTTCTACAACATATTTTTTAAAAAAAAGCACAGTAACCCAACACTCTTGAACTTCACCCCCCCCTTTCCATTGCCCAATCCAACTCTCTTGATTTCTGAAGAAGAAAAAAAAAACAAACAAACATCTACTGGGCTGTCTCCTGAATTCTATACCTTGTATATCGGCGACGGGCATTCCTTCTGGCGAGCCAACCCGGCGTCCTCTCAACCACGGCACCTCGCCTTGGTTACAAAAATCCCTTTTCCCCAAACGCCCCATAGGCGCTCGAGAATTGTTTTTAGTACTAATGAGGGGTTTCAAGCTGGCAACAAGGTATTTTTCTGATAAAGTGTAGAGGTGGGTGTGTGAGGAGGTCATCGGTTGGTGCGCTGGTGTAGAGTGGTGGTGAGGAGGAGAAGAATAAGGGGAAGGGGGAATGTGGTAGTCACCCTCGTGTAGGTATTGTAAGAGGAGTTTTATTATCGCTGGGTCGTCTTCTGGGAGGTTGATTTCGCTTGTTGAAATTTCCTTTAAGCTGGGTTAGTTTGCTGTGTTGGGATTTCACGTGATATAAATCTTTTTTTGGATGATGATGATGTGGGTATAACTACAGACTTGACCGCCGAATTTGAGTGCTCGGGCGAAGGATTCGGCGCGTGGGCAGACGATGAGTTTGTGGACGGCGTGGGTATCTGGGCCGCAGGTTATTTGGAGGTCGGAGTAGAGATCTGATATTAGAGAGCTTGGTGGTGGTTGGTTAGGTTAGGTTCCGTTGTTTGCCGGTGTGGAATGATTTGATCGTGAATGTTAGTTACCTTTTGATTGAGCCCAGAATCTGGGTTTCGGCCTCTGACGCCATATTAATGACTGGGAGTACGACTGGGGGAGTTACTAGGAATGTAGAAATGTAAAATGAAATATACAAAACAAAAGTTGATTGTTCTGGTCGTGTGGGGTATCTATGGAGGCTTACGCCAAGACGCTGTACTCAGGCAGATTGAAGTTTAAACTTTCCTTGCTGGTGAGATTATATGGACAATTGAAAGGTGGAGAAGAGCTGAGCGATTTTACGTGTTTGTATCCACAGTGATTCTTGTAGCGTCTCCATTGGCGGATGGAGGGTGTTGTAGTAACACCCCAATTCCCCGAGCAGAGTGATCGCAATTGTTCTTTTCCTAGAACCAGCGATGGTCATCTGCCTTCTTCAACAAGACTCCGAGAGACAAGCTGCCAAACTCTCCCATAAGCACTTGAACTTCTGGCTTTTTCATGAGCTTGATATGCATAGCGATGGTGTCAATAACGATATCTCTTAGCCCTTTGTCTTCTTCCCTCTCTGTCGAGAATGCGTAATCTGCAGCAGCTGAGAATCCATCGGCATCCCAATGTTTCTCACACCCATCCTTGAATTTCTCTTTCGACAGTTCCTTCAAACCCGCGATGTTGTACTTATGGGCAACTTCATACACCTTCGCATGAACCAGAAGATCTTCAGCTTGCAATTTGAACCTGATTTCTTCGATTTCGTCACCATACTGCTCCTCACAGGAACTGCATACAAATTTGTCGCATCTGAAACCGCAACTATTACGTTCAGGTGAGCAATGGTGATGAGGACAGAGCGGAGTACCCCCTTGCTCCCGTGTACAATTTACACACGAGTGTGGAAAGTCATACGTGTAGAATTCATCTTCTTTGTTGCGAAAAGTCTTCTTACAAAAGGCGACAAAAGAACTCGGAAAGTCGGGCAGATCTTGTGGGTCACATTTATAATCGCCAGTGTAAAAATATCCCATTATCAACTTTATGATTGCCGGTTCGTCCTCAGGGAGATCGATGTTTGATTGTTCAGATTCCTGTACATTTTAGTAGAGCCCAGTACATTCTGAAAGCAACGCACTTTGCCCGGAAATCTCACAGCACCTGCAAAGAAGTCAGACTGGGTGCAAAGTATCATTTTGTGTACTTTGTGTACGTCATTTCCACATTTGATGGTGAGATCCGAATATTCTCCTGAATCCAAGCATCTATTTGTGTATTAGCCAAGCACTTCATAACTTTAAAAGAAGGTAATTGCCTTGCGACTGCTGCTAGAACAGATGATTGCATTATCTTCGCCATCGCGGGAAGTCAAGAAAGAGTGCAAGACTGGCTAGCCACGAGTAACGCACCACCAAAGCTCAAGCTGTGTGAGGCGTGTGAGGTATGTAAGAATACTTAATAGCTGATGTGGCTTCAGAGATACAACGTGTGTTCTGTTAGAATGCGGGGAAGGTTTTTGTTGTGAAAACGCCGCAAGGCTACCTCATCTTCACGCCTAGTGCCAAGGCACTAGGCCGACAGGAAGGGACCATGGTCCACCAATCATAAGGGAATGAGATTGAAAGCAAGAACGAGCTTTGTGATACTACTTGGAATGAATTCAGTAACAAAATTTACTTAGGATACTGAAAGAAAAGAGTTAGTGGAGTACTCACAGGTGTTTTGGAAATTCACTGAGAACTCCTTTTGGTTCGTTGTAACAGTCATCTGTTCAAGAAATCAAACACACATCAAATCCACTACATCACCCAGCAAGTGAAGGCTCAAGTTAATTGTTTTTTCCCTAATATCCACAGTGAAGCTCTTCTTCAACAACTGTTTGTCCAGTACTATCGCGTTACAATGGCGTTTGCGGGGCAGCTTGGCTGACAGCGATCTTGCCCTAAATATTCATGTCTCTCTCCTTGGGTTTGAACATCTTGTCTTTTTGTTTTCTGTAAAATTGAACTCCAAATAGATTTACTGCCAGCGCCCCCATAAATCACATAGACTGTACAAATATTACAATCGAGACCAGCACGACAACCCACCAAAGGTGTTCCGAAGCCCTTTCATGTATAGAATAGGAAGTGCTTGGGACTGGAGATCCTAGAGAAGACTCCACAGAGCATACAGTCCTACTGGACTTTGCAACAGTGGTAGAAGTGGTATTGAAAAGCAGCTCAACCCACTGAATATCGAACCAAGCTTCATTCCCAATATCCATTCGTCCTGAGAAGTTTCCGCCATTGCTCCAAAGGTTCAGTATGATCGTACTCTCGGCACCCGGCACATTCACACTAGTGTCGGCGGTCTGTTTACCATCGACGTACCATGCGCTTCTCCCACGTATCCAGTCCAACCGATAGTTGTTCCAGCCAGAAGTAGGTTTACGATCTTCCATAGAGACATTGAACGTTGCGTCTTGTATTGGTACTGCTGTATCTGGATCTGTGGTCGGCTGATTTGAGCAATGTATTTCGTTGCTACCGCCCCCGGTTGGAATTTCTATGTCCGACTCGGTGGTGTCGTTGTGGTATGTGAAGAAGCCGGCAATTGCACCACTTGCACCACGTATGCGCGCCAACATACGTATCGAGGCATATGTAGCATTGTGCTCGATAAAGTCTAGCTCAGATGCTAATTGCGTACCGTTGGGCAGCCGTGTGGTGTGAAGAGTAAGGTAGGTAGACGAATCTTTCGACCCATCGTTGTTCTTGCCTATCACTCGTTAATATAAACCAGACCCCACGTTCGATAACCTACTTATTGATACACTGGATGGTGTATAGTGCATATCGATGGTGTCTTCTCTCGCTCCTGGCCTCAGCCAATGCCGAGCATCCCAACCAGCACTCCAAGGAGAAGCGGCAATGATCTTCGATTGTCCATTAGATGTTACTGTTATCGATTGCTTTTCGCCACTGTCGGGTACTGTATCCGCATTGCCAAGAAGGCTCTCACTCAGATTTCGGAAGTCGTAGAACCGATAGAAATCGTACGTCGCTGCAGTTGAGCCATTGGTGGAGAACACAGTACAATCTTCTGCGGCTACCTTGGTGAGGAAATCAGGTATGGCGAAAACCAACAGAAGTGTGGCTGTGGGAAACATGGCAAAAGTTTGGTTGGAGGGTTTGACAACCGGGGCTACTGCATGGATAAAATTTCCAGCTTTTAGCAGCTGGAAGAGCTCAGGATGGGTATCAGCTACAAATTTTGTCGCTAAACCGATGGATCTGATGTTATTTGGGTAGATCCCTGGCATTAGTATTGAAAATGAACAAGGCGTTTAAACACTCGGACTCGACCCGGGGGACTTCTGTTGGTTGTACAGTGGCTCAGCAGTGTGGCGTTTCTAGATCTTTCACAGCTCATCACGACAGCAGAGGAAGAAATGGTACTAGAGAAACTGGTGGCATGGTAGTAGCGCTGCATCAAGGAAAGCCAATGACATCCACGCGCGGCATCCAGATTCCGCCTTGGCAATAAGTATGAAACAAGGCACTAGTTTCTTCCCCAATATCCGCTAGCAACAAATCGCTCCAAACCTAGAACATCAACTACGCTGTGGCTTTGCTGTACAATCATCGATATGCAGATATCTGCAAAGATCCCTGCAACAATCATCGATCGACCGTTCCGTCTTCCACTGCAGTTCTTCCGCTGCCCTCGTGGGGTCCGCCACAACCACCGCCACATCACCAGCGCGCCGCCCTACCTCCACTATGGGGACGGTACTTCCTGAACATGTTTGCATAGCTGACACAATCTCCTTGACCGAATTGCCGTCTCCCGTGCCCAGGTTGAACGTATTGAGCGACCCACATCGCAGTCGCGACTCACTGACCGCTTTGAGGGCTGCAACGTGGCCCAATGCCAGATCGCTGACATGAATGAAATCTCGCATCGCAGTCCCGTCCCTGGTATCCCAGTCCGTACCAAATATCTTGAGATGTGACATCCTACCATCCATGGCCCGCAGTAAGCTAGGCATTAGGTTGCTCGGTTCCGTCTTTGGATCCTCCCCCAGCTTCCCAGACGCATCACAGCCAATTGGGTTGAAGTATCGCAAAGCCACAATATGCCAAGATGGATCGGATATCGCCAAGTCGTTCAAAATAGCTTCGCACATCCACTTGGTCCGGCCGTAGGGATTGGAGATTGCTGTACAGCCACCATGTGTGACTTGGGTCTTCCCGTCCATACGGGTCCACTCACGAGTTTCATGGACACAATGATTCTCGCTTATGTGCAGTCCAGTTTCGGACGTCACTTCTCCATAAACGGCTGCTGAAGAGGAAAAGATCAGCGTTTTGATGTCAAGACTGTCCAATAGCGAGCAGAAAGTGACCATTCCAGACACGTTATTGGAATAGTACTTGAGTGGCTGCTGAATGCTTTCGGGTACAGCCTTGTACGCAGCGAAGTGGATGACACCTTCGATCACCGAGCTGGGTGATCCAGCTCCATACTGGTGAAGAATAGCAGACATGGCGTCCACATCCCGATAGTCGGCTTCGTGGAACATAAGCGAGGGGCTCAACAAGCTTGCTGAGTAGTAGTCGTCTCTTAGTGCTTTGATCCGGTCCAGTGTCGTCATGTATGAGTTGTCGAGATTGTCTATGATCACAACGCTGAAACCTGCTCGAAGAAGTTCCAACGATGTATGACTGCCGATATAACCAAGCCCGCCAACAACTAGGATATGTCTCGATCGACGAAGACTAACTGCTGTCAAGCCGGGGTACTGCAGTTCATCGATCTCAGAGGTGGGAGTGCTGTACACTGAAGATATACTGAATGCTGGTGAGCATGGTGTGGAGTTATCAGAAGAAGCGTAAGAGCCTGTCTCAAAGTAAGACATTTTGAAGTTTGGAAAAATGTTGCTTGCTGATCCTGAGTGTAGAATCTTGCTTGCTTTAAGTATTCACAACCTCGAGCTCTATAGATGCTCTCGATGCATCCAATTCTTACATGGCTTGCTGAGTATGTCGAACATCAGCTAGTTTCAGCTTGAGCACACAGTTTCTCTGCAATGGCTTGCGCATCGGGTAGCCTGTCTGCCTTCGAGATACGAATGCTAGATGTCACATCCGCTCGGGGACTGTCGAGTTACTCTTCCAGATCACAAATTCCCTAATTGAGGCGCCATGCCAGCTGAGAGATGTCCATAGACGATCTAGATCTGTACTAGAAAAGGCGATTGTTGAGTCGGCGGGAGCATAATGTGCCGCCAATACATCATTGTATGCCTTTCCATGCTTGGTATAGTCTATAACGAACCAAACCTCTCGTACTCACAGGAGCATGAACCGCGGAGAAGCTTTTCGGCTGTCTGCGCGAAATTATTTTAAATCCTACCGAGCCGTTTCATCGCTCATTCGTGGTGAAGATTGGAGCAATCTAGCTCGATGCTCACTAACCCATTGATTGAAGCCTGAATTTGGGATGTACAAGTCTCTTACAGCATTTGAGACATCTGAATCTCCGCATATGGAGTGCCTAGAAGTTGCCAGATACAGATGTTCTGTCACGTTAAACGCCTTACGAAACAGGTTACACTGAAGATTAACCTTCATAGCAAAGCCACATCACATATTGATGTACCAGGAACGTGGATGTTCCGATTACGCAACAAAAAAGAGAACAAGCTTTTACCTTTTCAGCCTTGCCTCTCGCTTAGTGACCGACTGTAAGCCAGATAGGTGATGCGGGCCAGGAACCGTGCAGATGCAGGGGGGCTTGTATTCCTTTCGGCAGTTCCGAGAAGGCGAAAGTCGCAAATCGTTGAGGAACATGCTTTTAGGTAACTGGTACTTTACTGTGTTGGTGCAGAACAGCAATCAAGATTGGTAAGCGGGAGAATTGGTGGATGTCTAGACGATGCAGCCATGGTCTCGGCCACGGCTTGCTGTGTTGATCGACAACAGGCAGCCACGAAAGACATCTAGCTGAGCAGCGGTAATCACACCGGTCGACGATGAGACTAAAAAAGGAACCGAACTCTCGAAACGGATGTATCGAGTGACACTGGGACTTTGTATTGGAGTCTGCGGAAATCTAGAGCATGACTTGTGGCTTAAAGCTGAATTCGAAAAACCTCGAGTTTCTGACGTGCTAGTATAGCAATTCAAAAATCGATAGTTTGTAATCGTGTTCTAGATCGAGGAAGAATAAGCCTACAGTCTTCAAAAGTACGAGAGACTGTATTCATTACGATTTCATGTACCCTCATGCAAGGTACTACACTCGCTTCTACTATCATCTCTCTTTCGTTAACCGCAAAATGACTGGAATATCCTTCATACGCAGAGAGGATGTGGACGAAATATCACTAATTCGTCCCACTCTGGCATTCGATTCTGACAAACCCAGTCAAGACGCGCGTCCTGAAACACATTCATCGGGAGCTCTCACCCCTGCACAAGAAGAATTATCCCCGCCAAGACCTGCATTTATCTCATACGACTCTTCGAATTCCATCACAAGTTTCAATGAACAACCTTCACAGTACCCATTTGGTACACCTTGCTCTTCAGCAACAAACTCAGCTTTTTCAAGCAGCGAGTCGCTACCACTTCGACAAGGCGCCCAGAAACGAGACCGAAGAGGAGCAGTCCTTCGTTTGCTCTCTGCTGCCAAACAGAAAGTCTTCAACCATGTCCATCCTAGGACGATTTGGCAGATGATTGATATACGGGAGGTGTTTTGGCCATTCACCTGGAAGAAGTACATTGTACTCTTCCTGGTCGCTGCACTGGCCGTCGGTATTGCTATTTCTGATCATTATTTCGGTTGGCTCAAGAAGTCAATGGAGATTACTAGGAGCAACATGCTGCCGGTCCTTATCATTGTGCTTGGTCTCGAGCCAATTATGATCACCATCATTCTTCTCGTCGCACGCGTCCCACCCCTCGACCCGACCGTCAGCCCATCTGATGAGAAGTCTACCTCAAATGTCGAGATCGACATTGAGAAAGTGACCAGCAGCGTAGAGGTTACATCATCGAACTCGAACAACCGCACAGCATTGGTCATCCCATGCCACAACAGCGACCACGAAGCTACAAGCAAAGTCCTCAAGAGCGCTTTTGTCCACTTTCGGCCACAAGACATATTTGTTGTTGACAATGGTCGTTCGAGACATCCTCCGTCGCCCGAGTTCCGCAAGTTCATTCATAGCGAACACCCCGACATAAACTATATCTGGTCGCCCATTGGCAGCAAGAACGCGGCACAACTTGTCGGAGCAATGGCTGCTAAAGACCACGACTGGATCATGACAGTTGACGATGATGTATCCATACCAGCCAACTTCCGTGCTCCAATTGACAAGATGGACGACGTCACCAAAGGCTGCGCATTCCCCCTTAAGGCAGTCGATGCAAATGGAGATGTACCAATGTGTCTCGTTGCATGGCAGGACTGCGAATACAAGATGTCTGGTCTCACCAAGCTCGCTGAGTCCTCTATATGCGGTGTGCTATACCCGCATGGTGCAGGATGGTTCTGTGAAAGAGAGACCTTGATCGACCTCATCAGCAACTACCACTCTATAGACTTCATCGCCGAAGACGTCAACACCGGTCTCTCTATGCAGCGTATGAAGAAGCGCATCGCATTCGATGCGACGTGCGTGCTTGAGACTGAAGTACCTACGACAGTTCTCGGCCCTGGTCTCAACTGGTGGAACCAACGTTATCGCTCATGGGAAATGGGTCGACATGGCCGTCTCATCGCCTTTGCCGACCGCATGCTCCTTTCACTCAACGGCCAAACAACACCCTGGGGCATCTTCACTCAAAAGTTCATCCACCTCTACTCCATCGCCACCATTGTCGTCGACTGGGTCCGCGTACCCGTGTTCGTCACAATGGGATCCAACACGAACTTCTGGCGCCTGGGCCTCCCCCTCATGCTCGCTGCCACTCTTCCCATTCTCGCATTTAAGTACTTCAACGCGCGCCATCGACCTGATCTCCAACCACGATTTTGGGCCGCTATGACATATCCCCTCTACAAACAGTTGTATTCCCTCGTCTCCGTCTTTGGAGCTATACGCGCTGCCATATTCTACGCGGGAGGCCATAAGAAACCGAAGACTATTAAGAAGATGATTGCTGATAAGGATCCAAATGCTTTGTGGCTTGACCCGCGATTCGAGAGTAACCCAGCTTTTCTGGCTGATGAGGCTGAGGCGTTGCTTGCTTCGTCAGCTTCCGGTGGCGATACGAAGGTTCCCACTTCTGTTTATATCTCTCCTGCCTCTCCATCATTGTAACTACAGGCATAGAGATGTTGTTCTATGTTTTTTTTCCTTTCCTTCATTTGTTAGCATAAAGGCATTGTTGTAGAAACTTTAAAATTCGATACCCCCACTTCAATCTTCGGCAGGGTTTTACATGCATTAGCAAAAGATCCCTAGAACTCAGTACTCTGTGATCGATTCTGTCGTCTTATTGCGCGATTATTCAATCAAATCTACTTTTGTTACTTCATCTTGGATTGATACCACATTTCTTGAGCATCCTGCGCTAGGCTGTTTCTTACCTAGTACACTGCAAGTATGACTGGCTTGGAAGCCTAAAGTCATCTTTCAACTCTCTTTTCTCAAGTTTAACAAACCAATACCTCAATACGCCTATCAAGAATATATCCAATGACCAGCGAAAACTCTTCAATAATGGCGTCGTCTTCTTTCATCCTCCTTACACCTCGGCTAGTTCTCATCCCCACACCCCTCGCCGTCAACATCAAATCTTATGTAAATCTCTACGCCAGTCTACATGCCGACGCGGCTTTTTGCGAGATGGGATTTGGGGCGTCTTTCCCAGCAAGAAATTGGACAGAAGAAGAAACACGGGAAATCATCTTAACACGAGATATTGCTCGATGCTGGCAAGAGAGGCATTTGGGCGACCTTGCAGTGGGCCTACGATCAACAGCACAAATCGACCAACTGACTACACGACCCATTACTGGAACCAATGACCAAGTACATATCATCGAAGAGCACGAAACAGAAACGATATCTCAAGCATTGAGTAACGTGGAATGGGTAGGATATGCGGGTGTGCGCGATGCAACTACAACATCTATGCCGCTGCGCACTGATGCAGACCCCCCATTACCGCACTGGCAAGAAATGATTGAACTTAGGTATGGTGTTGCGCCAGCGTGCTGGGGTAAGGGTATGGCCCGCGAAGCCGCAGAAGCCGTTATGCAGTGGGCTAGCAGAGAAAGAGGTGTGAAGCGGTTTATTGCTGAGACGGAAAAAGAGAACGCGAGGAGTGCAAGGGTCTTGGAAAAGATGGGTTTCGTGAAGAGGGACGGGATTGATTATTGGAAAGAGGAGGGAGAGGTAGAGTGGGAGAGAGTGTTCGTGTGAAGATGCAAGTTCTGATTGGCAGGGGCTTATTTCGTTGATCCGCGGACCAGCCTGCAGATCATCTGGTTATAGTACAAACGATGCTGAAGTGACTGTGAAAGGTGTCGATTGTGAGAGTCCAACGTGTTGGATATCATGAGATAAGTTGAAGGGAAGACTGAATAAAGCGAGGATGGAGAAGTATCGCTCCAGTGACTCGAGGATGGAAACCGAAGACGGAGAGAACCGGAAAGGATAAAGCGGTCTAGGAGTATACTCCCATAAACTAGGCTGTTCTAGAAGGGGTGGTAGCGTACGTTGCGGTCCGTGGTGGAGACCGGTAGATAGGTCCTGGAGGCAGATGAGGCTGAAAAGTCGGAGGTCGGATTGGCAGGGCATGTGAACGGAAAGCTTCCTATAATGGGTAATACAGCACCTAACATCTACTCCACATTTAGTGGTGACCTACCCTAGTATTCACAATGGAGTGTTTCAACAATGAATCTTTTTTCTTGCAAATGCAACTGCACGGGCCAAGCACGTTTAGAAGACATGATGATTGGATCGGTGATAGAAAAACTCTCAACATTATTCCCGCCTGCTGTCAAATAACTTTCATGAAATTTTGAAAGTTTTAGGTTCAGTCTGATCTTAGACTGTCCACAGCGTGTCTCAACCTATGTACATAGGTGTAGATGCCCTTTAGTTGCCGGACCTTCCGCAAAAAGGCAAACCGATCACTTCGCAATTACCGCGACATCGCGTGGCAGCAACCAGCATGTGCCTCGTGGTGTCAAGGCTGGGGCAAAATTCGGAGACGGAGCGAAAAGAACTGTTACAATAAAGTGGAGTGCAATGGAGACCCCGATAAGTCGTTGATTCGTGCCATGGGGAGTGGGATAATGTGACGTCATCAATGTCACCTTGGATTATCGAATTTCGAGGCTAAGGCTGGTGGCGCGGCTAGGCGGTACTGATCGCCACTGCTTGGGCGGTTTACTTGTGATGCTTGGATGGCAAGTGAGGTCTTGTGTATAAAGCTTGGAGCGCAGCTAGGGTGATGGAAGACCCTGGCATGGTGTATGAAGGTACGGCCAGAAGCCTACTTGCTTCGTTGTAACTTGCGCACTCATATGCATATGTTACATACTTTTGGGTAACAAAGCAATGTAATCTTTGGTATGACGACGATAGACCTCTTCAATAGACCGTCTTCGCTTCGGCCGACATGCGATTTGCATTTGCCCCATATTTACTGCTGCATCGCTTGGTCTGAGAGGCTGTGGGGTAGTAGGCCTGAAGGACCAAACGGCCCCTAATTTGAACGCGCCGTAGCTCCACAACTCTGTCGGTGCGGATAATGTAGTATGACGTCCTCAGCATTGACCGTGTGCCTTGTGATGCGCACAGAATGCAGTGTGCTGCCTGGTTCGCCGCGCCTATGCCATCACCGCTTTCACTTTTCACTGCCAAGTTATAAGAGTCCATTCACCCCAGTGTAATTATGACGCGAAAATCTCGGTTTAATAGTTAATCTTTCTATCCACCCAACCCTCGGAGCCCATACTTCTGGGGCCTCGAAGGCGCGCTTACTATTGCCCAAATATCTTAATAATTATTGACTGCCTAAGCGCTTAGCTTCCGGCAGCATGGCGTCCGCCGCGGAAATAAGACCAGACATTCACGACGCCGAGACAGTCAACAAGAACGAGGCTGGCGATCTCGAAAAGAAAGCTGCTTCTGATGGCGACCACTCTCACACAGAAAACCCAGCTGACCATGCCATCTCTGCGGCTGATAAAGAACACTACGAAAAGTACGGCACCTACGATCGCTATGAAATCACTGAAGAAGATTGCTACGATGAGCTTGGGTTTTCTTTCCCCGAGTGGAAGAAATGGACTATCCTTAGCGTCATCTTCATGGTGCAAGTCAGCATGAACTTCAACACATCGCTATACAGCAATGCCGTCAGCGGTATTTCCGAAGAGTTTGGCGTCAGTGCACAGGCAGCGCGTGTTGGTGCAGCCGTTTTCCTACTCACATACGCCTTTGGTTGCGAGCTTTGGGCGCCCTGGAGTGAAGAGCTCGGGCGATGGCCTATCCTCCAGCTCAGTTTGTTCCTGGTCAATATCTGGCAGATTCCTGTTGGTATCGCACCCAATTTTGGGACTATCATTGGCTTTCGTGCTCTTGGTGGTCTTTCTACTGCTGGTGGCTCTGTCACTTTGGCCATGGTGGCTGATATGTGGGAACCGTGAGTACCTTCTCTTTCTGCACTATGAATGCAACTAACATGCACAGTGATAATCAGCAATATGCTGTTGCGTTCATTGTCTTCTCGTCCGTTGGTGGTTCAGTTCTCGGTCCTATTGTCGGAGGTTTCGTCGAGCAATTCCTCGCCTGGAGGTGGAACATCTGGATCCAGTTAATCTTTGGCGGTGCAGTTCAAATTGCCCATGCTCTCCTTGTTCCCGAAACTCGCACCACAGTGCTCATGGACCGCATTGCTAAGAAGCGTCGCCAAGAGGGCGAGAAGAATGGCAAACCGAACAACATCTGGGGACCGAATGAACTCAAGACCTTCAAGGAACGCTTCAGCATACGCGAGATCCTCATTACCTGGATGCGCCCATTCCGCATGTTCGTCACTGAGCCTATTGTACTTGTCCTTTCGCTACTGTCCGGTTTCTCTGATGCCATCATTTTCATGTTCCTTCAGTCGTACGCCCTTGTGTACGAGCAATGGAACTTTGCACCCTTCGCTATCGGACTGACTTTCATCGCCATTGGTATCGGCTACTTCCTCGCCTGGTTCTCTTTCTTCCCAGCTATCAAGCGCAATAAGCGCCTTCGTGAGGAGAAGCCTGAAGATGAGCGTGCTCAATACGAGGCGAGACTTTGGTGGTTGCTTTACACCGCACCCTGCCTACCTATCGGTCTCATCATCTTCGCCTGGACTTCCACCGGGCCACCAATCCACTGGATCGGTTCTCTCATTGGTTCCGCAATCATTGGTATCGCCAACTACGCCATCTACATGGCCACTATCGATTACATGATCTGCGCCTATGGACCCTACTCCGCCTCTGCGACCGGTGGTAATGGCTGGGCCCGTGACTTCCTCGCTGGTGTTCTCACCATTCCCGCAACGCCTTTCTTCCAGAACATCGGTGGCGACTTACACCTTGCATACGCTTCAACAATTCTTTTCGGCATCTCGTTGCTTCTGGTAGTTTCCGTCTACGTCATCTACTGGAAGGGTCCTGAGCTCCGCAAGCGCAGTCCGTTTGCCCAGCAGCTGAATGCTGCTCGTGACGAGACTGGCGGCCGCCGTGTTAGCAGTTTACCAGGACTTTATGGAAGTAGAGCAAACTCATTTGCACAACAAGGCGGTTCAATGCCAACCTCACGCAGAGGCAGTGTCATACGTGGTGTTCCGGAGGCAGAGAACAAGTATGCGGAAGCTCAGCGCATGAAAATGCAGCGCAAGCGGAGTGCGAATGGTAGCACTCCTTGATTTTTGACAGCAAGCTTTGTAGAGAGTAGCTCCACTGTTTTATGAACAATGTAACAATGATACCCGAACATGTTCTTGAAAGAGATCCTGGTGATGATTTTCTGGTGACTTGCAATATCGTTGTTGATTAGGAGTGCAATCGAACTGATAGGAGTGCTGTTCGTATATTTTACTCCCCTAGACTTAACATTTATCTGGTAGCATTTGAAACAGTCTTTGGCATCACTTCTTCCGGTGTAGCAGCTGCCTCGATATCATCAACAATAGCACTTCTTCCTTCTTCCTTGCCTTCATTTTTCCCAGCGAACATGCCCTTGAGCAGCCTCTCAACATCAATGCCCTTTGATTGCCACTCGATTCCCTCCTCGTATCCATCAAACGTCTTACCGGCTTCTTTGGCACGTCTCCGAATACCGCGAGTCCGAAAAAGCCACACCAGATGCGAGACGACCATACTCATCTCGATCGCGCAACTGTCATCGGTCAGTGCCCATAGAGTATCTGAAAACTTTGTACGCGACTCACCACAAAGCATACATAGTGCCGAACAGCGCATCAAACTCATTCTGAGCTACCAAAGCCATGAGCGAGAAAAATGCGCCATTCCAATCGATGGCCAAGAAAATGAAGTCAATCCCAACAACCCTTCCACGTCGTTTTAGTAGCTCAAAAGGAATAGGCAGGTAACCGGAGATGAGTGTCAGGAATGCAATGATACCGATTAGTAACACCGGCCACTCTACTCCTCTCGAGTACGGCGGCCGAATCGCAAACACAAGGCCAACTTCTACTCCAGCAAAGATGACCAGGAGGATGCACAACAAAAGAGATGCAGTCCACGTTCTCCATTTCCTAGCGATCCATCAATACACTGATCCAAAGACTCGATAGCGTACTCTCAACATACCGGCCATATATCAAACACTGCGCCCAACTAACCCCACAAAGCACACCAAAACACTGCGGCTGAACAATAAGCGGAATGTTGAACTGCTGAGCTATAGCATACGCCCCAAAAGGCACACTGCTAATCGACCAAAGCAGCATCATCGACTCCGGTAGCCCAACCGTGCTCTTCGTCCGGTAATTGCGCCATATCTGCGGTACAAGCTGTACGCACCAGAATACCGTGCCTAGGGTACCCAGTACGTTTGCTGCCAGCGGGATGGAGGTCTGTGGCGCCATCAGAGCTTCAATCTGCGAGGGGGAGAATTCGAGCAGGGGGCTCTAGGAAGAGTACACGGCTGTGGGCTTTTGAGGAAATAAAGTAATGGGGAGTAGAGTTTGGACATCCTGGGAAGATATTCCAGAACCACCCGTGGCGACTTCCCCCCGCTTACATCTTTCCTTGAAGCTTGAACCAGCTGCTTATCTCAACGCGTGGGTACAGTGGGGCCGCGGAACAGTCATCTCAAGATCGGAATTTGAGCGGTTTGGGCCAAACAGATCGTTGGGCAAATGCTCATGTTGTGTCGTGAGGTCTGCAGACTGGGGTAAGGCTGGAAAATCCAGGTCGTAGTCCCGCGTTGGTTTTGTCACTGGAAAGCTGTGTGGTGCGTAGATTGCAGTACGCTATGTCGAAAGCGGTAGTAGGATGGCATGTCGTGCATTAGGGCACCGATCGAGTTCTCCGGCCGTTGGACTACTGGGTGGGACCAATTGGTTGGAAGGGGCCTCGGAGGTCGTGGAGTAGTGGGTGCCGGGGTGTATTTCACCGTTTAGTAGTCTTTTGATACTTGTTCCCTCTTTCGGCTTTAGTCTACTAAACAAGGGTCCTCCGGCAGCTCTTTTGGCGATGACCGTGATATCTTACTTGCCGAGCTGCAGGCTGAAATAGTCTCCCAAGCTGCAAATATGGGTGTTTCTAGTGGCACTTTCTGTTACGGGGAATCGAGGAGTCTTTTTGATTGGACATCCGTTGCATGTTGACGCTATATCCGGGGAGAAAGTAAGCTTTGCAATGGTTAGAATCATCGAGATCCCAATGAAGATCGATCATCCAGGAACTTTATTTGGCGAGATAAAAGGCCCTCTGGGAAGTGTCTATGCTTACATTAATTCATGTGACTTCTTGATGTCGGATAGCAAAGTTTTCCTTTTGGTCAGCCCGCTACATGTACTGAAAGACGCTCTTAGTGATATTTAGAGCTCAAGTCATGTCTTGGCTACATGTGAGGTGGGATATGACTACTCTTACAATGCCCAAACCTTTTTTAACCGGATGACTGAGCCCAAAAACTCCGTTCCAGGATTGAGACTCAGTACAAGGTTCAGGAGAGTTGAATCAAGTTGCTGATTTCTTCGATGGCCAAAGAAAGTTGTTAGCGGCATGTGTATATAGATTGGAGGGTTCGTAACTTTGACGGCTGTTGGTCGAGTGGCCAGGAGACGGCAAGTTTCTTTTTCTCCTCATAGCAAAGGTTCTGTTAGATAGAATTCTAAAGTTAATAGACCTTCACTCTACAGGAGCGGCAATGAAAGTGATAGATGATTCACAATGGCCAGTCTCTGGTAGTATGTTGCGTCGTACTGATTTTGTTAATGCTCCACGTGTCAAAGAACCTGGTACAGGAATGACATTTGAAGTGTTATCAGGGACGTCTCTACGCCACAAAACATCAGGTGCATAGCGATGCTTTCGAGGATGCAGCCAAGTCATCCGGATCCACATTTCGTGCCATGCAGCCGTTTACACTGGTCACCAAACACGCCTTATTGGAATTCGGTCTTCGCATTCCATATCGGATTTTGTGGGTATTTGTTACCTGGCATGTGAATAGTAATCAGAGCAAGCGCGTCAAGTGCAGGTGAGAGTGAAGTCTTCAAACATGTGTGATGCTTATCCGCATATAGACATGGATGTATCCATGCGACATCGGAGTAATGTAGGTGTACTTTGGCGAGACCCTAGAGCTTGTCAGTGGGGTGCAGCCCCACTTTACCCCAGACACATCACACAATATACTGGGGTCTTGTAGGATCGGGGAATAGTTGACGTGTCGGAGGTCTTTAAACGTAGTTGTAGGGAATTGTGAGGACAGCATCTGAATAGGAACAAGTCTGTCACTATGTCTAATCACCTGACTTGAACGGGATTTGTAGTCCACAACGACAAAAGCCAGGTACTCTATCTAATTCTATATATCAATGTAGGATATTTTGTAGATCCGATATGATTCAGTATACGCAAGCTCACGGTGGTATTGGCAAGTGTGTCGCGTACCGGAAACTTTGGCGCTAACGGAACGGAACATATTTGATCTTGGCCTACGTCAACACTCTGCCACTCTCACAGTGTGCAGACATGTACGTGTCGTTTTTTTTCAGCCTACCGCAAATAAATGGATATCAAAGCAGCGGTATGATGATCAACATAGCTTCTCAAGTTCCTTCGTGATGCCAGTGGCTGTCGTTGACACTTCACGACTGCCACTTGCAACTTGCGACACTGCGTTCCTGCATTAGACGAGGCACAATCTTACGAATCCATCTATCCGTGGAAATAAAATTCCCAGTTATTCTGATGATGGGATCGTGGGAGTGTTATGGTTTCTGCGCAGTGGCGACGACACCGAAGCCACGCCGTTCTTTTTGTGCGGCGTCCAATCAGTCAAGTCGGATGCTAAGGCATTCCTGAACGATTGACACGATCAGCGATCGTCGATGTCAGCTCAACAGCTCCCGCCGAACACCTTGCCCGCTTCCTCCTTCACTGGCAACATATTTTCTAAATGACCCGTGTTGGGCACCATAGTAACCACCCGAATTCGCACGTTGGTTTACACCCAACACAGGCACACGGACGTTTGTTCATGCCAGGAGCTTTTCCCACTGTTCATAATATAGCGCGTTCGGCCCCGCAGCTGTCGACTACTAACGGAAGCTATTGAAAGCCACAACACCAAGTTTTTGTTCACAAATTCTCTCTGCAGCATATCCTGATATCGCCTCAACGTCGACCATGAATCACGCCTGGGCTGGCTTACATGCTATCTAAGTCAAGCTCATGAGCAACAATAATGCTTTGCCTCCAGGCTATAAGGCTTGGGGTCCATTCATACCCGACGACTACGTTATACATCCAGTAAGCCGGTCGGATATTATTTTAGCGAGTGCGGCGTTCGGTATTGCCAACATCTTTGGACTCTCCGCGGCTTTCATTGGTTTCAGGCAGACGAGAGCGTCCCGGCAGCCGTGGAGAAATGCATATATCTGGATGATATGGCTTGAATTGGCTGCTTCTGTGGTCCTTTCCGTAGTGTGCCTGCTGTTCTTACTAAGGATCATACGGCCCAGTTTTTACATGTACATGGGCATCTGCAAGTATGGCACAGCTGTTGAGTAGAAGGTGACTAACAGTGTCTAGTGGTTTGTTGGGTGGTTCAGATTCAAGTATTGCCGCAAATCATCGTCAATCGAATTCGTGTAGTTTTACCAGATCGACAACGAGGAAGACACCTAGCCATAGGAACTGCAGTCGTTGTCACTTTGATTAACATTAGCGTCTTTTGCGTGTGGATGCCCGCACGTCTTCAGATCAGTCAAAGGTATTCGCTGCACGTGATCTTTTGATATTTCAACTGATCAAACCTCAGATGGGTCCGCGTCAACTCTATTTGGGATCGAATTGAGAAAGTCCTTTTCCTGCTCTTGGACGCGTACCTAAACTGGTACTTCATCAAGACCGTCCAATCCGAGCTCGTAAGGAATGGCCTGAGCAAGTACAACCGCCTAGTCCGCTTCAACAAGCGCATCATCATAGTCTCACTCTTATTCGACGTCATGATCATTGCAGCAATGAGCATCCCCAACGGGTTCGTGTAGGTCAACACCAAACTTCCCAATCTTCACATCAAACTAACATCGAGCAGCTACGCCATATTTCATCCACTGGCATACCTAGCCAAACTCAACATCGAAATGTCAATGGCCCACCTCATCCGAACCATTGCCCTAGCCACCCCACACAACCAAAACCGCATGTCCTTCACAGCTTCTAAATCTTCAATCCAAACAAGCCCCTTCACCACGGACATCTTCGCCGAAGTCCCCATGCCACGCCGCATGCTCATCCGAGGCCTCTTCAGCCGCAATCAACACGGCATGTTACAGAAAGATGCACGTCGTAGGCGGTCCCGATATGACTCTACGCAATCTGCAGGCGCGCCGGATGTGGATTTGCAGTCTCTGGAGCCGCGGTCTAGCAAGAATGATATGCCTATTACGGGCGATAGTGTGGATAATATCACGTGCACTGAAGATCTGCGGCATGTGCTCGACGCTGAAGATAGGCCGCAGTGTGTTGGCGTGCTGGATACAGAAGCCCCGCCTTTTCGTGAGAAAGAGGGAGTATGAATGCTGAAACTGATCTTGTAACAATGGCCATGTATGTCTAGTTCTTATGATTTATGGATCGTGTTTATTATTACGAATCGCCTTGGATCTGCGAGGTGAGGTTATAAAAGTGTGACATGTTCAAGGCATGCGGGCAGAAGAGAAAGGGCGTAGAAACATCTTGATAATCCAATAAACTCTGGACAACCATCAATTGATGATTTTTTTACTTCATCCCCGTTGTACCACTTTCTTGCACAACATTAAACAAACCCATCGCTTTCCCATTATAGCCCATAAACTTTGCTTTCGAGATGTAACTCTCGACTATGTCCAATACGGAATTGAGGTCGCAAATCCCGCCCGTCGTCTCAGGTCTAGGCCTGCCAGTTGGGGTCCCGAGCCTGAAGATCGCGGGCAATCGCTTCGTCGTTAGCAGTATCATCATCGATACCAATGTTGGCCTCGTCACCGGCAAGGGCAATAGCACCCTGCTTCTTGCTCGTCATGCAGCACGAGTAGAACAAGCTAGCCCAGAGGAAGACCCTATCAAGCATGTGTTAGCGCCCACGCAGCCAACAGCGTTTACTGCAGATCAAAAGGCTACGTACCAGTTGAAGAAGTTGAGCCAAAGCAATAGGCCTTGCCATCTTCCAATCTTGACTCCGTTCAACCACATTCCTTGTGTGCCAGGATGATGTACATCTTGGTCTGCCTCAGCAGGCGCGCTAGCTAGATATCCAATGAATCCTATGAACGACATGCCGATAGCAGCCACCATCTTGAGCACCTGATACTTGACATATTTCTGCTTGGAAAGAGTTCCAGCTTCTGCGTTCTTTTGCTCACGGACGACGAAGAAGATGGTGGTTATGGAGGTGAGGAGCGGGGTGTAGAGAAGGCTGAGCGTGAAGAGTTTGTGGCGAAACGGGATGAGAAAGGTGACGAGAAAGGCGAAGAATGCAAGGAATGCAATGGCTAGCTGGGCGTGTTGTAGGATGCGGAGGCGAGGAGACACATTTGCGCTGGGTGCAAACGTGATGGGCATCCTCATGGCAGGCATGTTGATTCTGGCGTCAATGAATTACTGGGAGAGCCGATTCTTCTGTTGATGGCTCGAGGACGACTGTGACGATGGCTGCACAACGCGTGATAAAAGGCAAGCTTTATGGCTCTATTAGCCTGTTGACCGGTTACGCCTCATGGGCGACCCCTGGCGACCCGCACCCATTTTTGGTATGTGCCCATAATGTGGCTTGTATGGGTTTTGTTGCCAGACTTATTCGATTGGCCGTGGTGCCTAAAAATGGGGGGCACGCGTTGCCGAATGTGTTTCGTCGTGGTAAGGCGGCCAGCATAGGCGTAGGCAGAAGCGTCTAGGTCACGTCAACGCGCAAGGGAAGATCTATCAAGGGACGCGATGCGATGATAGATATTGGTATGCCTGATACGAACCCCCGGTAGACTTGAAGTGTCGCCAAGGTGTGTGCTGACGGTGTCGCCCTCGGCTATCGAGCTGTCAGTCGGATTGTGGCTGAGTTCGTACAAAGCAATAACCGTGTCAGCCGCCAGTGTTTCAGTCTCGCCAACGGCTTGAGAGGATTTGAAATGCACGCCTTCGTAAGACCTGCTGGCACTACCAATCTCGGAAAGCCTTTGATTGCCTTTAGCCAAGTGAACATGCATTGTATTTGCCGATGCAGCGTCTCGTGCCCGGCCAATATGCTCCTGGATTGACAACAATGGGTCGTGGTCTTGCTGTGCAGCATCAACTTTGTAAACTACCATATACAGCATGTTGTGTGTTTCAGCCGGCTGGTCAGATGTCAAAACAGATGAACCTTCGGACGAAACGATCTCGCAAGCAAACCGACTCATCTTAGCCAGCGAGGGCATAAACTGCATCGTCTTTTGTGTGGGATGGTTGAGCGCGTGCAGATACTCTACCGATGCCAGGTCCTGCACATTCGACAGGTGGTACACGGCAAGATATTCGTTGTGTCCATTTTCAGGGTTGAGCGCGCGGTAACGACGCGCTCGCTGGAATCCTGGGAGGCGCAGGCGCTCAGGGAGATGCTCGTTGGTCCACCAGTCGTTCAGAGCGCCTTCGTCTACTGTTGTAGGGTCAACAGATGCCCATATGACAAGCAGACCCTGTGCTTCCATCACTGATGAGCCTGGTAGTGCTAGCTTGTAGCGTAGATAGGGTGATTAGGTGCAGGGATCAGCTTGACTTCACAGACAGGGCGCTCGTTGATAAGGCAGCGGCTATGGCCGGGAACAGAGAAAGACGAGCAGTCGGACTATGCGGGGCGTTTTGTGAGGTGAAGGGTTGCCCTCATCGTCGGCAAGCTAGTTTTTGGAGATGTACACTATATACATGCAGTGCTGTGGTGGTGTTGGTGATGATGGTGGTGGTGGTGGTGGTGATGATAGCACTGGAACCAGGTGTAGGAAGGTAGGAAAGTGGGGTTGTGCATGGTAGGCAGGTACACAGGTAAGTACTCATCCCCATGCTCTCCACAGCCTCCATCCCTTCTGCCCTTCTCTACCTCCATCTTTTATTTGCATCCCACACCCACACCCGCATCCGCATCCATATCCACGGTGATATTACAAGACCCTCAGAGAACGGCCCGGCTTCTAAACACGGCTGCGATTGCGATAACATGTCGGATCTCGGCACTCGCAGCCCCCACTGTTCCCAATCCACGTGTCACGCACGTCTTGGTCGACTAGGCAAGCGTTTCAAGCCCATGTGTGCCTGACAACACATGCAAAGGCCGTCGTTCACCTACTTACTACCGTGCGGCTCCACTCGTCCCGGCCCTACCAGCGCTGCTAACCTGACTCGTGCCAACTAATGGCCAATCTCCTTGATCCCCGACATTGACCCACACGGCAATTTTGCAAGGCTTGGTGTCAATTTTGCTGGCCTGGAGTCAATTTTGCTACAGTTCAAGTCGGGCTGTGCATCTCATGCAGATCGCCGCTAATTGCACACATCTAGCCGCGGCTAGCAAGACAAGCCTTGCTCTGAAGCTCAGGGGGAACAAAGATACAGGTAAATGGCGCTTCGTACTTATATCTACTAGAGTCGGCGCGCACACCCGTCCGCTTCGCCTTTTGCCTTGCCGTGTCTGCCCACTCGTTTTGCAGTCGCAAAGCTCACGTTCCTTAACGCCACACATACCATAGTCGCTCCTTTTACCCTGCAACAAAGCCACAATACCTACCCGCCTATCAACATACTTCTAAACTTTAATTCTTACACTCGTATTCTGACAGACCCACTATCGAGCCTACAACAACAGAGATACCATGCGCCAATCAACCGCCCTTCTTTCCATTCTTGCCAGCACCGTCTGCGCTGCTGATATCGTCAGCTTTTACTTCCCCGGTGGTTCGTCACCCACAATTTTCTTGTCATCCTCCTGTCCTCACGAAGCCGCTCTAACAACATATTCGCAACAGGCTATGAGGGCGCGGATCCTGTCGCGACAATCAACACTGTCAACCCAACAATGACCGAATTCCGCATGGCGTGCCCTACTGGCATAGACAGCTCAGAGTGCGGTTGGGGCCCGGGCCTTGACGCGACTATCCTTTCGCAAACACGCTACCAGGCCACTATGGACGCTGGCGGTGTCTCCATGAGCTTGGGCTGCGACTACAACAAGAAAGACGTCGAGATGACATGCACAGTAAAGCAGAAGGGTGGCAACGACGACACTGGTGGTGAACCCGTCACTGCGGTTTTCTCCAACGACGATGTCAAGTTTTTAACCGTCGACGTTGTTGCAGGAAATAGCTTGCTGAGGACCGAAACAAGCACAGCACCAAGCGCTAGTGCGACAACTACCAAGACGAGCGCTCAATCTACCTCTGTTGCAACTTTGACAAAGAGTGCGAGTACAGGACAGATGACGGTCGAGTCGGTCAGCGAGACGGCCAGCGCGTCGTCCAGCGCGTCGCCCAGCGCAACCATGAGCACCGTTTCTACTCCTAGTATTGCGCCCTCGCCAACATCGAGCCAGTCGTCCGCAAGTGTACCTGAGAGCACTGGTGCCGCTGCCAGGTTCGGCATAGAGGGCTCTGCGCTGCTGGTGCTTGCTGGTGCTGCGGCGTTCAATGTATGGTAAGCGTCTCCAGTAGACTTAATGACTCAATTGCCGTTCATAGCACTACAAGTCGTGATTGATTCTTGACCAAGTGTCTGCTACAGGGCAAGTACCTGATTGATGCACCTCTATTCTGTCAAAACCGCTTATCCACTGTTCAAGCAGTGTTGGATAATGTTCCTTTACCTCTACATTCCACTTCGTATTCCCCTTTATTGTATAATAGGTTGAATCGGTACTAGTTACATTGAAACAATCTCATTTTTATGACCGAGACGGATGAAGAAGACGTAGGGTTGGAGACGGTTTATCGTTCTCGCTTGTTACATGCACAGAATGTGCCTCTGCTGTACGACTGGCCGCCTTTCACCATGTGACCGTGCGATTGAACACGGCACATGATTTTCTCTAGTCAGGCATAAAAGTGGAACGGTAGATAAGTTTCAGAACGATTCTCAGATTTCCCATGTCTAGCTTGTACTGCTACAAGACCCTTGGTCACTTTTGCTTTGCGTTTCCTGTTCCTGTCAGGGTCTTTGACTAGCGTATCATGACATCATCCCACCCCCACGCTCCTCTCCCAGCAATCTTCTTTCTTAAACTCCCTACTTTCTACACTACTACAACTCAGAAGTCTAGCCCTTTGACTAGTTTGCAGCTGCGCTGTCCGGAATCTCTGGCTGATACTTGACATCCGCAAAAAACATTGTCGGCCTTGCGCATGACATCATGTTCGCTACGCAGGGCGGGGGGCTGTGCATCTCGGCTGCACAACACCAGGTCATGGAGTCGAGATGCTCAGGCGCCACACCCAACCTGCAAGTCTAGAACACCTCACCATCACCTTCTTATGACGTTATTCCACCCTCAAAAGACGTTGCAGACATGGGGATAGCATGTTGTAGCCGCGGCAGCTTACCCACCTTAGGACTACGGTTGATTCTGAGAGGCCCTTGCGGTCTAGATTTTGAAGGCTGGGACCGATACCTGCAGATATGATATCTTTGTGGGGTGGTTTTAGGACGATCCCCGGTCTTCGTTCGTAAGGCAACTGTTTCGCAACGAGCTGGTCGCACAGGAGAAGGGCAAATGAACGCTGTGGAGAGTTTGAGATCTCGATGGAAAAGTTCTGGATTCTGTGAAGCCCTCGTACTTCGTAAGAGCTCGCACGCTAATAGTATCAGTATAGATTGGATTGTAAGTACAAAAGCGAGCATGAAGCACTGATATAGAGAAGAGCATCAAACATACAGAAAACACTGGGCTATCAACTGCTTAGCCGAAGCTACTTACATTTCATCTACTTCGAAATGCGGGTCCTTGTAGAGAGCCCACTCAAGAAGCCCAGCTGCGACATTCGTCAGAATGCAAACATCTCTCTCCACACCCTCTACGAAACAACGAAGAAGACTCAAAGCACCTCCAAGCGACGACCCAAGAAGTATCGCGCGGTCGAACGCTCCGACGGTGTCATTGTTGAACATCCTCGTTATCGCCCCGCAGCTTCATCACAAAAACCAGTATCACAATCATACCCGCAGAGAGCTCTTCTGCTTGACCACACGTTTTTATCCAAAGAGATGGGAGACGCGAAGTCTAGCAGGATGATGTATGACTTGCTAGGCGTTGGGGGTTCCGGGAGCAATGAAGTACATGGAAGGCATTGCGATACTACAGATATAGGAAGGAGAGGCTTCTATGGAGCGGAAAATCACCAGTGGACGTTTGTTGGGATTGAAATGTATACCTCTGAACGGCGGGGTCTTGTCGAATCAGATCCAATTGATCGTTTTCTCTGTGAATCAGGGCCATGGAGCTCATATTCTCGAAGAGAGGAGGAAACCTAGTTTGGGTGTCCATATTTTAGTATAGTGGGTAATGTTATCAAAAGAAGCGATTCGTCAAATATGTCCATTTCTCCAATCGCGTGACCTGTCTTATGGAGCCGCCATCTGTACCTCTACCCCACACATGTACAAAACAAGGAAGTGCACACTCGATGCTTTATCTATGCACTCCTGCCTCGAACGGGATTTTTCCATGCCGAATGCATCATCTATCAATCACGTGTGTGTATCAGGCAGCAATGACGAATCACCCAATCGAACGTTAGCGTCTTGGCGTGAACGTGTCACTCCTCCCACTACAGTGAACGAGTGCGACAGAAAGACAGTCCCTGAAACAGGCAGAACTTTCCAAATCTTTCAGATACTATCGTAGGCCATCTCTCAAGCCTGCAGCAACAGAAAACAATCTATTCATCCCCCCGCTCCCCTTCTGGCGTCACCTCGTGTTTATCAGCTGCATATAGCGCGGTTGCCGCAGGTGTGACTAACTCACGGGACTAAAATGCCCACATCGATTTCTACCCAGCGCATGAGCATATAGAAACAAGCAAGAAGACGGCGCAACTCAAGCGTCCGATAATCACTTCACCTCAGGCAAGCCCACAAATTCACAATGGCGCCATCAACACCGTCCAGCTCGAGGATGAGAAAGAGACGGGTGGGAAGCCCTGGTATTGCGCCTGCCATCCCAAACCTCCCACGCGAGACTACGAGACGAGAGACTGCCCCCAGTCATGAGCAGCAATACTCCGATCACCAATCAAACACTGCTTTGGACTACGATGAAGCGTACAAGCGCGCCAGGATATGTCTTCTTGACCTACCATCCGAGTTGATTGACTTGATAGCCTCCAAGCTCCGCACAGACAAGTCTATATTCAACTTTGCGCTTGTAAACAAGCGGCTCAGCGGTATTGTGCAAGAAACTATGGTTCGAAAGCCAGTGCTTCGTCAGCCAAATATCAGAGGTTTCCTTGAGATGCTTGGGCATCACCCTGAACTTATCCAGAAAGTCACAAACGTCGACCTCGGTGATTTTGATTGTTCCCATCACCAAGATTGTCATTGCCGAGACGTTCCCAACCTCGATGGTGACGTCAAGGAGATGATCGGCAGAATCATCACTGCCAACACCCAGGGCGAGGTAACCTGGAGCCACATCCGGAAAACCAAGAACTTCTTGGGTCCAGTATGGCGTGAGGACCAAGCCTTCTTCTTGAACACACTGGTAGCGTTGTGCTCGAACATGAGATCAATAACGATCGAGCTCCCGGGAGCCAGACGTTTCCAAGCTGGTCAGCCACCCAGACCGAACCACTCAGCGCCCCATATATTTCCTTCGTTAAATCCAGAACTACTTCCAGTTACCCCATTCGACGGAATCGCTCTCCAGATACTGCGTCACACACTCCAATCCCTCACCATTGCTGAAGATACTAGGTGGAAGGGGCCGGCGACTCTCGAGACTCTCCAGTTTCGCGATCTCCAATGGCGAAATATGGGAAAACACACCATCACATTAGCCGGATTTTCTAGCCTGAAGCGTCTTGATGTCCCCATGGATGCTCTCGGTTGTCCACAAAACGTTGTCTTTTCGAGCGAGAACAGTCAAGCTACACCCAATAAGAATGATACACCAACACGCAACCTCGTACTGAAAGACGGGAGATTACAGACATTGGAAGAGGCGCGGTTGAAGGTTTTGCCTCCTACACTCACACACCTACATTTGCGATCTTGCAATAAATTCACATTTGCCTTCCTGAAAATGATCAATGAGACGGCTCCCAAAGACATGCAGTTGAGATACATCGAACTCTTTTTCCCCAGCGAATCCCACGAAGCAATCATTAATTGCGACGCCACAGACGAGGGCGGCTTCAGTTATCTGGATCTACTAATGGACCTTGAACGCAAGAATATCAATATCCAGTTCTTTTGTGGGGTTAAAGAAACGCGAGTCGATATGCGTCGCGAGTTGGAGGCCCTGAGCTTCTTAACGCCTTACGAAGTTTGGAGATACTCTAATTTCCGCAGGCCATTCTCAGATCTGAACCCGTACGCTAGTAGGATACGCCAGTCATCGATGATTGGCAGTCGCCTTTTCTTACGTCATGCGAACAGCCATTCGCGACTCTTCAACAGCGCGACATTCAACCCTGAGTCGTGGGCGCAAAGCGCATTCTTTCGTGGGACGGAGCCAGCTAGAAAAAGCAACTCAACGCGCGACCAAAAGCCCAAAGCTGACGAGAAGGTGGACAATAGCTGCCACATTAGAAACCGTGAAAAGCAGAAAATAAGGCGACGGCTGCCTGATTTACTCAGCAAGTTTATTGAGAGTCCTGCATTACTTGCGCTAATGATTCTAGATCTGGATAGCTTCCAGTTTAACTTCAACAAAGTCCAGAGCTTTTCATCTATGCCCAAAGAAGCTGTGTTCCAGGGTTTTGTGTTACCCATCTCAACCGACAGCCGCTCACAGCCTATTGAAGACAATGGAAGCTCGAAGAAGAACAACAATGTTGGAAAGGACGACGCGAGTCGCACAAAGAGAGGTCGCAGGACAAGATACATGGAACCAAACATCAGCGAGGTCAAGACCCTGGAAAACAACATGATTGAGCTCGAGATAGGATCTGGCTGTAGGATCCTCGCCCCTGAACTACATACCTCTGAAACATCCACGTTCAACATTGCGAGTTGGGTAACCATTGACTGGATGAGTTTCTTCAAACCATCAGAAACGAGCGAGCAAATGATTGTTTACACATGAAGTAGCAGGCTGTGAGGATAAAGCGGGGAAATTGGTCGAATCGAATCAGGGATGAGTTCAGGCTTTCGGAGTAAAGTGGTATGCATATGGATATAATTTTAGTCGGAGAAGGGCAACACATGTACCAAGATGAAAGCATGCAGGGTATCCAACGGGGTTTTGGTGTCGCTAGGGATGCTCATCTCGTTCAACAGTATTATAGAATGCAATAGGAGATTACGCGCTTGCGCACAGGTCTCGCGACCACATTATGTAGAACGTTCTTGCTTTTGGATAGGTCGGATAGGTGCATTCGGAGTATTCTAATATGTTGCATTTCTTAGACAAGCATCTGAAGGAACTAGCTAGGTCAGAACTATTTCATGAGACTTTAAGAAAGATCATCAGTAAACAAATTATCATTACTAAGGATAGTAGGTGTGCGAAGAACTCCCACACTCCACTCTCTAGCCAAATCTCGCTCCGAACATGCGTACAGGAAATTGACGTCTGGACCATAAAGCCGTCGTCCCCAATTCGCAATCATCAGCACATTTCCAATTGTTATCTTCATTTCAATCATGACGGCGGCGCAACGCAGTGATGACTTCCAATACAATGCGTGCAGCAAACCTTGTTACTTCCCGGTGCAGCATTTCCGCAAGGATCTAAACGTCACGTTAGCAACCCAAACGCCACAATCACCACAAACTCAAAGAAAGATATGAGACTTACACCAACTCGGCAAGCAACCACCCGTGCAAAACGATAGAGTCAAGTCAGTGCCGGACCCGCACACCTTGATCGAACTTCCAGCGGGCTGCTTTCCATATCCCCAAACAATACTCTGGCAGGTGGTGTCGCTCGGCTTGAGCGACATTGTGCGTCCGGCAAATCCATCGCCAAAGATATCACTCATATCGTACCAGACCTGCTGGCCATCAAGATTGTACGCGAAAATAGTCTGGCTGACATTCGGCTGAAAGATGCCATTTGCAATTGGCGAAATCTTAAGCGCGATGCCCCCGGACTGAGGGTCGCGTCTGAATGTCTCGCTGTAGGATGTCGACGGCTCGATCTTCTGCTGTGGACCGATGCTTCCGCCTACGGACCAGAGGTAAATAGCCTCCGGACATTGATTGCTAACGATTGCGCGACCGACGGCTTGGACATGAGGCAGGAAAATGGAGGAGAGAGTAGCGAGAAGAGTCAACGAAGGTAGAAACATATTGCCCGTAGTAAGTATAGTATCCTTTGACTTCTTTCTTCTACCCGTTGAAATATTGAACTTGAAATATCCCACCACCCTCCCTTCCGTCCCCTTCTTATATAACCAAAAAACAACCCATGCCACTCAGCCCATCCATCCCCTTTCGCTCGTGTCCCAAAAACCGCATCACACCACACAAATGCCCCCGTCATACAAACATTCTATACAAGCCACACAAGCCCCTCCACTAACACCACGCTCACAAACCACTTTTCCGCGCCACGACTCCTCCCCCATAACCAACCGCACTCCATTTCCATTCTCATCCTATGGAAGAAGGGGGGAGAACAAAGACCGGATCGCAAAGGGGTAAGGTCGCACACGGCCGGCCCCGGCTAGCGTATTAACTTGTTAGCTTATGAGTTTTTTTTTAAGGCACTCCAGCTAATACGTGTTAGCTGGTAGTATCGCGTGCGTGTGCCGGGCACCTAGTCGCGCATCCCGCGTTTCGGTACCGCTGAATGTCATCCTCTTTTTTCCACATTGGAGGGGGCTGTGATTTGGTATCTTGGTACCTAGCTAGTTCCTAAGACAACGATACTTTGGCTCTGGGTATTCACACAAGAGTTTATTTTCTCGCTGGACGGGGCTCTCAATGCAAGGAAAAGAACAGTGGCGCGGGGAAGGGGAGCCAACACACGGGCCCAAAACGCGGGGTCAAGTGCAAAGCTGAAAAAAAGAGACGCAAGCCACTTGTTGCGAAAGACATTTATTGTTACTATCGAAATTTAACGAGTTGTCGAAAGCTTATTTTTATTTTTATCTCTTATATTTGCTCTCTGATATACCTACAGTGTCTCTCTCTCGCCTTGACTTGGCTACCCAACTCGCTATCGCTATCGCCGTGAGTATGGGCCCATCAGACGTTGCACCACGCACGAACCGTTGCGCCTGCGCAATCAAGCAAATAAGAATGAAAAACAGCCTGATATGTGAGGGTTACATGCGTATAACTATATATTACCCTGCATAAACGGT